GAACTGAACTGGGATTGTCAGAGTTATGGGTACACCGTTTGTGGGTGTAGTGATATTTGCACTGCTTTACATTAAGTATAGAAATTGAAGGAGTTATAATGCTCATCTTTTACTATAATCGTACAGGAGCTTTATCATCTTTGTTTTTGTTTTTTTTTGACTTGTGAATAGAATTCGTTTCGATTAATCAACCAACAATTCATGATAATTCAGGCAACGGTCTTTCACAGTCAGTCTTAAATGTATATCAGGTATTCGTCCTGTTCAGTTGCTTGGCTTTAAGTATTTTTTTTTCCATTCTTGTTTTTGCATGTATTTATTTCCACATTGATTTTTGAACTTGTATTATAATTGCTAAGCAAAAGTATCTATTCAAGAATTTTTAATTATTAAAAAAAAAAAAAAACCTTTAAATAAAGCAACAACGTGTTTATCTACTGTACATAAAGAGAGCTATACTGTAAGTTGTATAAAAAAAATCTAAAGCTTGCTTTATAAATAACCATACAAAATTTACCAAGAACACTTAAAAAGGTTATTGCTGTACAAAGATCCATCTGTTCATAATTCAACATACTTAAATTCAATAGAGCATTTGTAAATGTCATGGTCTAGAGATTAGGATTAAATTTAGTTTCATTATCAGTTCTTCATCTTTGTTGCACATAAAACATCAGGGTACAACCCCCACCCCCAACCCCCAGACATTGAAAGGCTATGCAAGTTCTTTAATCAATTTAACAAAAATTTAGACAAGTCGTCAAAACCATAATTGAAATAACCCAAATAACATTTTTAGGTTTCTTATATTCAATTGTCTGAGAGTTTGTTATAAATTATATAAACCCGGTTCTCCTTTACTTTAAAAGTTTTTAAAATTGAAATGAAGCTGTTTCTTTAAGAAGCAAAGAGCTTGTCTGTTTCAGTGGTGTGGGTGCAGCCAGCTTCAATTGTTAGTCAGCTGTAAAATATGAAAATGGTTTCATAAAATGAGGTATAGATGACTGTTCCAATAAATTAAGTAAGCTCATTATATTTAGCAATGTCAATACTTTCCTAGAATACTATTAAACTCAATGCCTAAATACATTCAACACTATGTGTTGTGCTTATTTAGATATATTGCTTTTCTGCAACCTTCTTTTTTTTTCTTTTTTTACACTGAAAATGAACAAAAATAATTTGAATTTGTTCATTAGCCTGTTGACATTTTACTTAGCAACAAATCTTGAAAATTTGTTAAAGATAGGGATATATTCTGTCAGAAATTACAACTATTATTTCTTAAGTTATAACTATTCCTCATTACACATATATATCTTCTTTACAGTGTTACCTTTTTTGTTCATATTTTAATATTTCTTATGAGCACTCCATTTGTTAATTGTAATTTCAAATAAAAATCACTATGGTGACCTGGGTCATGTCACTCTATTTTGATATGTTTTTATTAAGCACCTACTAATTATTTTACTTGAACCTAAAATCTTTATCATTATTACAAATTGTGTTGAAACATGCTTTAAGAAGTTAAAAGTAGTTTTTACTAGTTTAATTAGCTTTATATTTTTACAGTATTAAGAAAATCTCCTTTTATTTTCTTAAATTGTATAATGCTTAATGCATGTGCAATTTGGTATCTTTGCACAAAGTTTCTCTCACAGATATACAAAAGCAAGATATATTTTAAGCAAGCATGCAAAATATTTTTGTGAATAAGTTCTTAATAAGTTTTTTTTTTTTTTTTAACCGATGCAGTGAAAAAAGCTAACCCTTCTTTGGATACCCTGTTAATGATTTGTTTAGATTGTTTTAATATCTCATTTAAATATGGAAGAACTTTCATTTTATGTTCAAGTTATTGGCTGCCACACACCGTGGCATTTTTGAATATGAAAAGGATGCAGTTTAGATGTTTGCAATTTTACATGTTAGAAATTATTGAATCATCTGTCATTAACAAATAAAATAACTGCTGGAATCTTCTTCAGCTCCAGAAAATTCTTGTTATTTCAAACATCAGGAAGGGAATCATTCTTGTTGTTAGCAAAGTGTGAGTGAAGTTATTTCCGCTTGTGCAGAGTTCCAAAAAGGTTATTGATCGTGTTAAAATTATTTGCAGATGGTGACAAAAATAATCCATTGAAATGATGGGGCAAATATTTTCCAAAACGAATAGAGTGGGATTTGATGAATAAAAATAATTATTTTGTTCGAAACTGAAAACGCAAAATTGTATATATAAGTAAAGTGTACTTATATTGTGTTTCTTTTTGTTTTGTTAAATGTTCAGAGGTCAATGTGGCTATTTAATTGTGCATGCTGTGTGATTTGACACCCATACTTTTTTTGCATTCCCAACCATTCTATCCATCATTAATTGGAACCCTGGCAGGACTTGTCTGTTTTTGTCAGCCTAGTAACTAGAACTTTTTTCTTTTTTAATTTTCCTCCTAAACCAACTGTGATACTAATCTTGACATCAGACTCATATGTGCCAGAGTTATTTGATTGGTACATTCACTTCACAGCTACTATAAGAACAAAAATAATAACAACAAATGAAATGTTTCATACTATATTATTACACATGGAGTATTTAATAAATTTTATGTAAACTAAGAAGCTGAAAGTAAACAAACTCATACAAATATAAATATAAAAAAAAAATTATATGCATAACTTTTAATTTCATTCATGTTCATTTTTTAAAACATTTGTTGATTGTTATGTGAAATCTTAATGTCACTAGCTCTAGCATCCAGTGGGAAAAAAATCTGCCGTAAAATGGTCATTGTTTGAAATGACTAGGAATAGGAAAAACTACAGTAAAACACAACTCTTCTTAAATCAAATATATTGATTATGGCTCAAATGGAATGAAAAACAAAGTTTTATTTTGTAGGTTATAAACATTTTCTGTTATATTGCACAGAGGAATTCATTGTTATCATCTTTATGATGATTTCATCGAAGTACATTTACTAATATCAACATTATAAATAAGGTCACACTTTTTGTTTGTTTGTACCTTTGAGTCACATATGTTAAGGTAACATTATTTTGTTAAACATCTACTGTATTACTGATTATTATATAATAATACTTATTAGGTAAGGAATGATATAAAAAGATTTCTTTAAATCAACTCAATTTTTACCTTCTGACCATATTCAGTGTCATTAGTGAAAAAAATAAAAAAAATTTGGAAAATATAAAGAAACCTTGGTGCCAATGATTTCTGGTTTTCATTTCTTTCAGACCTATTTTCCTCCATCTACCACATCCTCACTCCAAAAAAACTGAGATGTTTGATTAGTATTATATAAAAATTAATGAATAAAAATTAATGAAGTTAACAATGATTTCTATGTACCTCTGCAAGTTACATCCCCTCCAAGTGTGTGCACTAATGCATGTTTCTTTTTAATTCACTGAATATACATTCTGTGTGAAAGTATCTTTTGTCATCATCTCTTTCTCTTATCGTGATGTCGTTATGGTTGCTATTTTGCATATGATCAGATTTTCATTATTTTTATCTACACTATTTGACTGTTGTTCAAATTTTTCCTTATTAAAAAAAAATAAATGACAAAATATTAAATGGTTTCTGTGTATCTTTTAATATGTGTTTCTAATGTGAAAGTTCCAATGTTGGCTAATTATAAAAATTGTTGGACTGCCATAAAGCTTTAAAATAGATTAATTTGACACCAACAATTTGTGTCAATATAGCAATATAAGGTCAGCTTTAATAATAATTTTACAGAATACTACAGTATACTTTTCGGCATATGCCTTCATCAGTACAACAAAAAGACAAATAAGTATAATTTAAATAATATATATATGCAGATATCCTACCTAAAAAAGGGGAGAAAAAATAGGAGTGGGTGCAAAAAACAGACAGAAATAAAGTAAACAAGAGTCACAAGGAAGTGATTTGCACAAAATTGTAAAAACCAAACTGGAAAAAGACATGGCAGCTAGGTAAAATTGTGGATTTGGTTTTTCCTTATGGAGACAATGAACCAAATCGTGTTATTAATTTATTCTCCATATAGATCCTATCTGTTGTGTTACTAGTATACAGTATACCAGTAACTGTGATGTCTGAGATTTCATCATGGTTAGGGCTATTGAAATGTTTGGAGACAGGACAAAGAGCTTGTTTATTTATGTTATAGAGGTGTTCTCTGAACCAGTCTCCAGGGTGACGATCTGTCTCTCCTAACGTATACTTTACCCCACTTTTTGCAAATGATCGTGTAAATCACGTTGCAACTTGTGCAGGTAAAGCCATATTTATGTATACTTTTGTATTCTGTAAAATTATTATTAAAGCTTACCTAATATTGTTATATTGACACAAATTGTTGGTGTCTAATTAATTAATTCCAATATTGGATACATTTAGGCATATCCAACACATGATCAGCAACAGATATCATAAATAAAAAATGCATTTTTGCGATTTTTTAAAGTATTAATCCAATAACTACTCTAGCTGTTGATCTTTAAACCAGATTTTTGGGGAGAAAAAAAATTTGAAAAAATAAACAAATTTACTAATTTTACTAATAATTTTTGAAAGAAATAGAAAATAATAAAAAAAAAATCTAGCAGCAATAAATGAATAAACAAAATGTACAAATTTACACTATTAATATTTACATAAAATTAATATTTGTCCATAATTTGTATAAACATGTAATGCTTAATAACAGTAGAAAATAAAGGCTTAAAAAATTCATAGACATATTTTTTCTAAAAAAGAACAAAAAAAAAAAAATTAAAAAAAAAAAATTAAAATTTAAGTTGTTGCCTACCATTAAATGAATAAAAACATTTTATTAAAAAATAAAATTAATATTTGTACATAATTTGTAAAAAAATGTAATGCTTAAAAACAGTAAAAAATAAAGGCTTAAAAAATTCATAGAAAAATTTTTTCTAAAAAAAAAAAAAAAAAAAAAATTAAAAAAAAAAAATTAAAATTTAAGTTGTTGCCTACCATTAAATGAATAAAAACATTGTATTAAAATAACCCCAGATAATGCACATTTTTTTCCAGGTAAGCAACTGACATAAATACTGACTTCCATAACTTTACTTAAAAAGATGTCAAAAACCATAAAAGTATTGAATACAGCATCATCCCATTAACTTTGAAAATGTTAGCTTTCAAAGCACAAAACCAACAGTCCAGTTTTTTGGTTGTGTTTTAAGTATGATCCGTACTTGATAAAAGGTTGGATGGCTTCCTATCAGGAGAAAAGTGATAGGATTGTGCTGTTAACAACTTTCCCTCAAGGCTGGTTGTTTAGTTAAATAAGGGCAGTATTGAAAAATTGTCACATCAATCCAATCAGGTTAGCCAGAGAGTTAACTGTCAATCCCATTTTATCCACCTTGTAAACTGCCAGACTTGAAGGGATACACCAAGGCTGGATCAGTGAATCTAACTGTGAGTATGTAAAAAATGGTTGGGAAAGGAACCATTGCTATGAGTGGTGCATGGAATGCAGGCTGGATGAGCTGTGTGATCGCAATGATCCCGTAGGCATGGAGGAGCCAGTGTCCAAGAAGGATTATAAGATTTCTCATGTTGGTCACATTCTGCTTGATAAGTTCTTTCATTTTCTGTAAAATAAATAAATAAATTGTGACACCAAAAGATACCAGTGAAATTAGTGATGTCATTTTTACTTTTAAAATAATATATCTCTGCAAAAAATATATATATTACAAACAAACCTGATTTTCTTCTGTTGCTAAATGGCATGCACTTGTAATAACTGATACTACAACAATGATGTAAGGAAAAGCATAATCTGGAGACGTTTAAAAGAAATTTTATTAATATTTTTCATAAAAATTCCAAATTACATACTTTCATACATACAAGGTACCGTATAAGCTAGTGTTAAATAGATTCAAAACTATCTCTCTCCACATACCCCAATCAAATCACAAGGGCATATCAACAGAAAAACCATTACAAAACAATAATAAGGGGCATCAACAATTGTTCAGAGTAAAGTTTATTATATTGAAATGATAACTCAGTTTTCATGGGTTTTGATAAAAATAAATGTGAGATAGATGACACCAATCAGCAAGTAAATTAAAAAAGGCATTTAATATTTCTATTAAGATAACTGTTTTAATTTTTCTTATCTGTTATAAATAGACATTGTTACTTACAAATAACTCCACCTAAAACAGCATGAATCAAGATGAGAATAGGCAGAAAGTATAGTGCAGCATATATAGATCTGTAGCCTTGGCAACCAGGAAGCTTATAGGAAATTATGGGTCGCAACAGCATCATGAATAGAAGTGAAAACACATAATAAATCATTACCATTGTGTACCTGAAAAAAAAGTTAACGGAAGAATGTAATTGATTCATAAGACACCAAGTTGAGCCATTTAATTCTTTTGTAGATTTCAACTAAAAATCTAACATAAGATTAAACAGTCCAACTTTGCTGTCTTTCTAATTCTTGTTATATGTACATATTTATTTGCTGTTGCAACTGAGCAAATGCCTTAAAAAGTTTTAGGAAATTTCATGGACAATTATTTGTTTACAGTTCATTTCTGGAGAAAATTGAGATTAAATGTCCAATTCTTTGATACTGAAAAATTAAGTGCAGTAAGAAAATTTTTTTAGAAAAAAATAGATAAAATAAAAATACTGAAAAATAAAATTTAATAATAAGAAGAAATAGAAGAGACTTGGTGTTCTATTGACTTACAATGGGTAAACAATCTCCTGAGTACAGTACACAGTGTTGTAGTAATCAGGGGTAGGATTGAAAAGCATTGTGTACCAATCACTAAACTGGTTGACATTACAAGAGCGAACTTCCATTTTCCCCACAGGATCAGAGAGAAACAATGTTAGCCATGCTGCCAAAACTGTCTCAATGAAGGCTGATGTGTGAAGTAGAAGGACACCTCTTAAGAAACAAAAAAAGCAAAAAAAAAAAAAGGTAAAGGCATAGGGCTCTGAGATTAAAAGTTTTAAACAGTGGTGTCAAACAGATTTTTTTGCCCCAACCAATGATGTTGACTAGTTACTGTTCCAAGTGTAAAAATCTAGAAATACTCAAGTCAACCACAATTGCCTCAGTGGTAAAGTTATACCTACAAAGAAGTGGTAGATTACAAACATAATTTAAATGCTTGACTAAAAGCAAATTATCTTATCTTATATCAACATGGTGGGTTGATTTCAGTATTTTTAATTTAATTTTTTTAAAATACCAATAACCAGGTCCTTCTTGTACAGACCAAAAGGCAAGTCTTTATATATTTTTAATCCAAGAAGAGACTAAATTAGTTTTAGCTTTTGATAGATGGTGTAAGCACTCAAGCTAATACAGTGTAGATGAAGTTATCATGGCAATACTGACTTTAACTTTATTTACACCACCAGGTAAATGCAAGTTAAAAATCTGTTTAATGTGTGTTTGATATTTTAGCAAAAATACCCCTGGGTAAATTTAAACTACTGACCGTCATGTAGACCGAATGCATTTATCTAAGTTTAATGAGTACCTTTTTGGATGAGACAGTAGATCTATGAATCCCCAGTGCAGGACAAGTGAAACAAGACCCATAAAACCAAGGTAGAGCCAATCATAAAATGTTGGATTGCTGTTGCATTGTACACAAATGGAAGAAGCATCCGGTGCATAACCTCGTGGGCAGGCCTTTTCAAAAATGAAAATGCAAATACAATTTTTAAGAGAATAGTTATTGAGAATTATTATATGTTTTTAAAAGTAAGGCTCTAGTAATTTGCAATGAAAAGAATCTAAAGCAAAAACCAGACAGTAAAATATCATAATTATCATATGATCATTACCTAAAAGTCATTAAAGAAGAATGTTGATATACAGAAAGGTTTTACTTTAATTCACTTGTTAAGAGATTAGATTCAAATAAAAATCATACAAAGAATTTGATTTTTTAAAATGAACAAACATTACAATTGGGGCATTTGAAAATTAGTAATCAGACATTCATTTAAAAATTCAAAATTTCATTCTGTTTGACATTTTTTCATAAATCTATGGTCAACTAATATCCTCTAAAGATACCTAAAAAACACACTATCTACCATGGAGAGACTTGAACTTGACATTTTCATTAAGTTTATCAGCACTTTCCACTCTTCCATTAAGTTTACATCCTTAATCTGTAAGAATTCTGTAAACTTCTTGGACATAAAACTTTCAAGTAGATGGTTCATCCACCTCAGACTATTATAAAATCTACTGATGGCCACATATAGTTTTTATGCTCTTCCTCCCACCATAAATCATGCGGGCACTCTATTCCCTTGTCACAACTACATAGACCACATCGATTTTGTCAGTCTGATGAAAAATTTTAGGACAAAGCACATGAAGTTATCAATTTTTTCCATTGCAGGAATTAGCCAGAAACATTCCTTTCATCAGCCATAAAAAAATGACCCGTATTGAAGCATTCAAACCATGTGCCTTTGGCACTGAGTATGAGGACATAATTAAACTTATCCTCACATATCACTCTCAATGCTAAATAAGTTTTTTTTAAAACATCATGCCATTCTGCTAGCTGACACGAATGCTTACATTTTCTCATCACCACCTCTCAGTGTGTTTAGACTGGAAGAGAATTTATGTGACCTTGTTCATAGCTACCACAGAGTCACTCCCTCCCTATTTGTAACAAAACCATATCGTCGTAGCCGCTGCAATACCTCTCCTTACAACATTCAAACTCAAAATATTGACTTCCCCCAAGGGTTCTCTTCAAATAAGAGATGGTTCTCTTGTATCAGCTGGAATGTTGCTTTCACAATAGTTTGTAGACACTGCTTAAAGTGCCATGTGGAAGAAACAGGACGGCGACCTGCAGATAGATTCAGTGAACACCTACAAAAACATGGCTCAAGACAAGCAATGTGCCATCTTTTCTCCCTTCATTATAGTCAAACGCAAAGGCGCCACTGATGTGTCCATTAAAGCTATTGTTTCCTCTACCAAGCCAGCCAGCCTGCCTGTTTTGAGAACAAATTGATACACACCAATGGGACCTTGACACCACATGGCATCAATGTCATGTTTTATTTTACCTGCTGACTCTGTCTTGGTATGTTTGGGATCAATTTCATTTAATTATTGTACGACTTATCCATCTGCTGTATTTAGGATTTTGTGAAGCCACCTGCTGTTGGGGAATCTTCACAGGCAACTATTTACGAACATGTGAAGCCTTCATCCAGACCTGTTTACCCTCAAACCCTTAAAATCGTACAATATCATCATATAATCGTTCAATACATTCTCTTTATAGAGCAAAAACGTGCTGTATATATAATGTATACACCTCAAAATCGTACATTGTACGCCAAAGTCGTAAGAGTAAACAGGTCTGCCTTCATCTAATCTTTCTTTACGGGCTGCCATCTTTCTGAACCATACAAAAGAATAAGCTTAACAATCTAAAATTGTCTATCATTATTTGCCTAGAGTTCCAAATCTTTTTGGGAATAGCAAACGCCATCTACCTTCAGTTTTCTTTCCATGATATCTAGCTCAGGTTCCCCATCTATACTAACTTCATCTAAGCAGTCCTCACCCTTGGATTTTATTTTATATACTAATCGCTCGCCAAACAATGGTGCTCACAATGCATGAACTTCTCATCTACAAATTCACAACATGTATTCAAGTAGAGCACTTTATAAGATTCCAAATTAGTGCGTTTCCTTGTAATCTCTAACCCTCATTGTGTGAAATTTTTTGGAGACTTTCAAGCAAAATTTAATATGATTTCCCAATTACTTTGACTCCAATCAGCTAATTTTATCTTTATATACATCTTTGTGTGCTGTTGAATATATTTTAGTCAAAGCGTTCATTGTTAAGTTTTATAATCTTTCAGGTTTTCCTCTACTCTGTATGTTATCTAGCTGCCACAAGCTTTTAACATAAAATCTAAGGTTTACTTACTTTACATGTCTCATTTCCAGGCATACGACCACAATACCGCCCAGGACAAGGTTTCTTCCCTAAATAAGAAAATAAAAAGTTTAAAAAAACCCCTTAAACTTAAATTTAAAAAAATAAATAAAATATATGCCTACCTTTAGAATTTAAAAAGTAGGAAAAAGCATATTAAAAATAAAGAAATTTTCCTGATCATAATATGATATCACCTACAATTAACAGTATGAAAGAATTTTAAAATATGACAGAATTTTAAAGTCATATATTTTTCCGATTTATAACATTTTGTAAGCATACTTAACCTTAAACCTATCTTGAAAAACAAGCAACCATTAACCTGACCCTTCTTTATTTTATTAATTAAAAAAAAAAAATCTCTGTTTGAAAGAATTGATTTGACTGATTAATTAATCCAAAGATATATACCTTTTAAATTTGGTGGAATCCTTCCACTATCATCACTCGCACAGAGCGGTAGTATGATGCTTAACAAAACAATGAAGATCATTAAAGTGCCAAAGACTGAGAATTTAGTGCCCAGATGCATTGTCAGTGTTCTCTTCTACTAAAGTTTTAAGTTAAGTCTGTAAAAAAAAAAAAAAAATTAATTTCCAAATGCTAATTATTTCCTAACTTATCAGTGTTAAAAAAAAATTCCCAATCAAGCATGAAGATTGTGAGCACTCAAAATGCTCAAGTCTATAATCTTTGTCATTACACAAGTAAATTCAAAACATAATGCAGGTTAATTCATTATGGATTATATATTTAAATTAAAAAATTAACTGACATTAACCTTTAATCAGGGGCAGATCTCCCAATAGTTCAATGGGGCATATTTGAACATGAAATACAACTGGAACTACTAGATCGTGGGGGTAAGATGCTTTATTACTAAAATCTTTGGAAATTTTGATAATTTGAATTATCCTCGTTACAGTTAAAACGTTAAAAAGTCTCGCAATATGCAAAGTCAAATGGGGGAAGTTCGGAACAAAGCAAACATTTCAAGAGTTCTTTGTTATGATACAAAACTATTTTAATGGCACAAATCTTTTTGTGTATTTTTCAACAAATAAGTTATCTTTTAAAATATTTTCAAACAAAAGAAACTCAATAACATTTCACAAGAATTCCATAATGTAAATAAAGCAGCATAAAATTTCACCAAATGAGCATGGCCTGCAGTGTGATGAAGAACAGGAGAATTTTGAAGTTAAAATAGGATTAGGTTACTGCCTGCCTGGAAAACGAATATGTCATGCTTAGAGACATTCCAGATGATGAAGCATTTTACGATTTAATAAAAAATTATTACATTTTTTAAGACACTGTTAAATATTTTTTTTCAAAATATTTACAGGAAAGGGCAAAACATCTGCAAGTAATGAATAGCCTATCTAGATCTAAGGAATTCTAATGAAACTGAGTTTCACATGGAACTTCTGAATTTCTGAGCAAAAAATTATTGCGAACTAACGCTGGTGCAAGGGCAACTAGAATTGGTGAACGACTTCTAGATTTTGCTTATAAATTTGGCAATTTGAAGAAAGGTCTAACAGAAGACACTGAAATTAGTCTAGAATTAATAAACAACGAAGACAACGATTATGAAAATAACGGGGATATGGATTTATAATTTTGCAGATCAAACACATGAGACCTGACTAAAGTACACATTGGGGTAAAAGTCCAGTTGAGGCACATATATTATTTCTTAACAAATTTCGTAAGCTTATGCGTATTCTTTATTAAGTTACCTCCAGACATGTAGCTAACGTTAACAATGGCTAACTTTTAGTTTTATTTGATAACGTGCCTTTGAACCCCCCCACCCTCCCCAAAGTACACAGCCCTTAAATAATCCCTCCATTGTGTTTTTCATGCTACATGCCAGATTTTTCCACCTATAATTTGGTATGTTAAATGAAATTTTCAAACTGTGTCCACAAAAACGAAACAAGAAATTAAATTTATATTAAATCATTTATTGTTGCATAATGTTAACAGAACAAAATTTATTATATCAGAAATATATCATGTCATGGGATTTGTTTCAAATCTGCCAATATTTAAATATATATATTTAATATATAGGCTATATAATATGGATTATGAAGGATACAGCTACAAAGTCAAAGCTTGGCTTATGTTCATCATTTAGAAGATTGCTGTCTTAGCCCACTGGTATTTTTGTAGCTTATTTTAAAAAAAAATTAAATTTGGGCCTCCAGCCCCGAAGGCGTGGATATTATGAGTTCAGTAACCTTCAGTATTTGAAAATGGATAATCAAGTGTATGTGTACTAAGTTTGGTCTAGATCCCTTCACTCATGCAGAAGCCTGAGTTTGAAATGACATTTTTATAGTTATGTGTACTAAGTTAAGTGTATGTGTACTAAGTTTGGTCTAGATCCCTTCACTCATGCAGAAGCCTGAGTTTGAAATGACATTTTTATAGTTCATATAAGAAAAGATAATAATTTGAGCCCCCAACACAAAAACATAATTTTTTTTAACGCTCAAATGCTTCTTAATATGACTTATACTTTTCAGTATGTTAAAGTAGCATATGGCACAATTCTTATGAGCAGACCTGTTTACTCTTACGATTTCGGTGTTCAATGTACCATTTTGAGGTGCGCCTTACTTGTATTAGTAAGATTTATATTGTTTCTATAAAGTTTGTTGGAGAAATAAAATGAAAATAAATAAATAATTTAATTATGATCATTTTAAAATATTTTATTACAATATAATTTATGTGGGGGAGGGGGTTTGCTGAAAATGTTTCGAAATTGAGATGGGATGCAGCGCTGCGAAATGGTTAAGAATCCCTAGCCCTACCATAGAATATTTACTAAGAGTAACCCCTGCCCCTGGTCAACCATTTGTAGTTTCATCCCACTTCACGTCTTATTAGGTGCAATTTTCTCAAATAATGTTCCGCTTGTTATATGAAGTCACATTGCTTAACTTAAACACACACACCACACCCCCCAACATCATCAGGATGCGTGACATCATTTATGGATAGCCCGTAGTCACTAAATGATATTTACTTATGATTTATTTACAGTTGTCTGCACTTTTTTTTTTTTTTTAGATCAAGATATTATATTTATATTTTTAAAATTATAAACCAGGAGGAGGAGCAGGATCATTATTAATTATTTATAATTAATCAGATGACAGAACAGTGAACAGTAGACAGTGACAGTTGTAGGCTTAACACTTACTTTTACTTATAATAGGTTTATAGCTAGGCACTCCAATACTTTCGCCGCCCGTGATAGAAAAACGAGGCCTGCCGAGCGGCGATCGCTGTGATCAGCCGGCGCTTTTCGTTTTCGGTAGATCTTGGTGATTAGTGTTGTTTTGCGTCATTTCTAAAAATAGAGGACTCTCCTTGGTTTTATTTAAATCTGCGATGCATGCCGGTTACGAGGGTATGAATTAAGTGGAAATCTGACCTTGCTGAGACGATTAATTGGAAAGTTGACTTGGGGTAAGTGAGTTTGCTGTGCTATATTTTTTTTTTCAAATCGCGTTCGGACTTGGAAATTACTTGTTCGCATAGATTATATATTTTAAAAGCAGAAACACTTATTTTAAAGAGTATAGATCGTCCCCAAAATTTATGAGAGCTTGAACCGTGTGACTAAAAATTCAAGGTTGCCAAGTCGTGGCCATTTTTTCCCCCTCGATCTACCGGAAGTGGTAAATCTCTAATGTAAACAGTGGTTATTATTATTTAAAACCTTTTTCAAACAACTAAATAAATATTTCCTGTATTATAACTTAGTAGTTTGATTTTAAATATATACTTTTTAATAACTGGTTTTTAATAATAATTACACTTTAGGCCTATATAGTTATTATATAAGAGCAGGCTTTGGATCAATAAAACTAATACATATACTGAGATAAAACAACAAAGTCAAAGTGATAAAAGTGCTTTGACATACAAATAGCAATGAATTAGATAGTAAGATATCCCCTAGTCCTAGTTATTATCAGCTATAAGTGTACATATAATAAAGAACATTGTGAAGCCTATTTAAAAATATTGAATCATTATTTACATGTACCGGTATTCATAAATTAATAGTCCTAATCTTTATTTTTTATTTTCCAGAGTTACAGATTGTAATCACTCCCTGTAATTTTGATATGTATTTACTTGGAGGAGATCAACAAACAACCCAATTTGATATTGACAATGGAGGCATATTTTTTTAATGTACCAATTGATGAGGATGAAGTGTTGCTAGACCTCCGGAGCCGAAACAATGTCGACAGATTACATGACATTTTAAAATTTTGCATAGCATGATTTTAATTGCTTTTGATATATTTTAATACTCTATTATATTTGGTTGGACACTATCTATTTTTACTGAAAATTTGATTGCATTAGCTTTATTAGTTTAAAAGTTGTATATTTAAATGTAAAAAATTTCTCGGCCGCAGTTGCTTTTCATAAAATATTATTTCTAATACTGCATAAATTTTTCTGATCTGTATTTTATTTATGTTAAATATGCCTTACTTTTAGATGGACATTATCTGTTTGTATTGAAAATTTCATAGTGATAGCTTTATTGGTTTAATAATTATGTCATTTTTTGAAAAAAAAAATTTGTTCGACAATTGTCGTTATCCATGCTATATGCTTATAAAAATTTTTTTCAAAAAATATAATAAGTTAATTCAAAATTCATGTGTTTAATTTTGTTAAACATTGTATTGTAAATGTGTTCTCCAAATTTGAGCAGTCTAACTTTAAAAGCCAACAAGATACAACCAAAATAGTACAAAAAGAGTAATAATTAGATCACAGTTTTAAAAATTAAATACAAAGCCAAATAGTGGGAAAAAATAAATCACTAAAAAAATCATAACTTTTCTTCTACAAGTGATAGAAAGATTATCTTGGTGTCAATGGAAAGCTTAAAGTCAGCTCTTTCCAATGATATGCTCCTTGTGTATGTCAGATGTATCTGAAATTTTGAGTTGGAGTACCTATTATAGCTAGCCTTTTATTTATTGCCTTTAAGCTTTAAAATGATGTATCATGGCACTAGGACAATAATTAAAATTTCGGTCAAAGTACCTAGCCTACAGTCTACAGCACCACTACAGTAGTACAGTCTACACTAATCAATTCAATAGGCCAGGTCTACAGTCCTCGATCTTTTAAATTATTAATGATTTTTAATTTCTTAGCCTTTAACCGCACTGTTTACAAATCAAGCCATCACGACAAATATCTAAAACCCAGTAGTATACTGGTTAAAACAGTACGAATCGTCATCTTGGATTTAGTTAAAGTTAAAGACTTACAATTACAAAAAGCCTAGGCTTATTTCCCGGAATGCCGAAGGCTATATTGTTTATCTTTTCACTTAGTAGAGTAACATTGGGAAAATTTGTATTTGTTTCTTTCTAAAAGTAAAGAGTGGATTATGCATTTCCGTTTCCAAGGGCGCCAAATACAAAAGTAACACCCATTTAGTTGTGTAAATCAATTATTACGAAACATTAAAAAAATTATAAGTATTTGTTTTGGTTGTGTTAAATTTTTTACGTTTTCGATTTGAGTTGCACATCCGCATCCGGCCACAACTATGTCGTAGTAACCACATCGCGCGCGCTTCACAGTTAACAACAAATATGGCTCCTATCGTCAGAGAGGTTCTGTCTTTACAGCCAGTCATTTTCCATTATTGGCAGTTCTGCTCTAGAAGTTTCGCTAGAAGATGCCCAGTCATCTGTCGGAGTAACATAATTTCAAACTATAATTTAAAAACCAAAGCGGAGAATTATAATGACAAGACTAATTACTCTTTCGTTTCTCATTTACGAGACTCAAATGTGTTAAGAATAAGATCGTCGCATTATAAGCTCAAAGAATTGTCTCTTTTACCACCAAATAAACATACTGACTTCATTGGCCGATCAAAAGATATTTTGAGAAAGTTTCTTACACTCGTGCTATGCTCAGCTGGTGGGTACCTAGTTGTTGACTTTCTCAAACCCACCTTCACATTACATGCTGCTCCATCCAGTCTAGCCCAGAGAAATTTTATCGCTGACATCGTGGACAAGGCAGGACCAGCCGTTGTGTTTATTGAAATCAAAGGAAGGTGATTTTTTAAAATCCCTGTTGTCACGTATACTTTTGTTTTTAAATATGAATGCATATGCTAATTGATTTTGAAAAATAATAAGAGAAATACCGCTAATACAAAAAAAAAATAAAAAAAAAATAGATATATTTTCCTTCCAATTTTTTGTTTGTTTTGGCCGAACATTTACCAAGAAAGTAAAAGAGATTTCTTTTAGCCCAAATCTTCCCCCCAAGTGTAGAAAGTATGTGATGCTCAGGGGCGTAGGTGACTTTTTTGACAGAGTGGGGTCCAACCTTAGATATCTTTTGAGCACTATATAAAAAAGTAAATAAAAAAAACAACTCATCGCATTTGGGTGTTTAAAATGTATCTTGACGCCATCGGGGGGGGGAAGGGGGTCCAGACCCCCGGACCCCCAGTCAGAACAGTCCCTGGCGGTGCTTCATCTTTTAACTCCTTGGTAACAAAACGAGACACAACCAAATAAAGACTTTTTTTTTTTTTTAACTTATAAATAAACACATTTTCAAATTTGTCTTAAATACCTGAATAATTGATTTGTTCACAAGTTAAAAAAAAAATTGTGTCTGTGTAGAAAAATAAATTCAAAACTTTTTTAAATTAACTTTATAGCTTTAATGATATTACATAGAATAAATGTAATAGCAAACTAGTATTACTTTGCGGATTGCAAATAATTTAATACTTTACATATACAAAAGTAAAACAATGAACATAACACTGAACTCCCCCCCCCCCCCCCTTTTTTTTTTTTCACAACGCAATTAAAGTAATTATGTCTCTCATAAATGACACACCTATTATCTTTAGACACCCGGTAAGTGGTAAACGAGTGACCATAGCTAACGGCTCAGGGTTTCTTGTCCGACAAAATGGTCTGATCCTGACCAACGCCCACGTTGTGGCAAATAAGTCGAAAGTCATCGTCAAACTCCATGATGGCTCCACGTTTGAAGGCACTGTCACAGCTGTCGATCCAGTGTGTGATTTGGCAACTGTCAAGATTGATACCGAGGTAAGTGATTTGGCAACTGTCGAGATTGATACCGAGGTAAGTGATTTGGCCACTGTCAAGATTGATACCGAGGTAAGTGATTTGGCAACTGTCAAGATTGATACCGAGGTAAGTGATTTGGCAACTGTCTAGATTGATACCGAGGTAAGTGATTTGGCCACTGTCAAGATTGATACCGAGGTAAGTGATTTGGCAACTGTCTGGATTGATACCGAGGTAAATGATTTGACAACTGTCAAGATTGATACCGAGGTAAGTGATTTGGCCACTGTCAAGATTGATACCGAGGTAAGTGATTTGGCAACTATTTGGAAGAATACCAAGGTAGTGGTTTGACAACTGTCAATAGTCATACCGAGGTAGGAAAGTGCTTTGACAACTGTTAAGATTGATACCGAACTGTTAAGATTGATACCGAAGTATGTGATTTGACAACGGTTAAGTTGGTACTGAAGTGATTAGGCAATTGGCATGGCTGACACCGAGGTAAGTGATTAGGCAATTGACATGACTGATGCCGAAGTAAGTGATTAGGCAAATGACATGACTGATATCGAGATGGCTTGAGATGTAAATAATTTTATATATACATTTGTTTTGTTTTATATAATTAATGTATGTCAATTAGTTATTTCAGATTTTTATTATGTTTGTTAAATTGTATGTACTGCGTGGTGAGCCCAGCCCTAGGCTGTGGTACCACGCTATATAAAGCCACGTATAATAATAATAATAATAATACCGAGGTAAGTGATTAGGAAATTGACATGACTGACACTGATGTAAGTGATTAGGCAATTGACATGACTGACACCGAGGTAAGCTAAGGACAGACGACCAAACTTTTTTTGTTGACAGTTTTTGAGAAAAATTTAAATATCACATGCCTGCTCATATTCCCTGTTCCTACTCACTGCTCCTGCTTCCACCTGCTCCCACTCCTCTCGGATGCTTATGAACAAACAAGAATACGTGTTAAAGTGAATAATGACGTTCGTAACCAAGCTGAAGATCAATTTGTTAGATGTGCATGGATAACTTGACAGGCGGCTGGGTCGGAGTTTGTTTTCTTTTCTTCTGGTGTGCAATTGTCCATTTATACGGTGAATCAGTTGTGTAGATAGATGAATTGTGCAGATATATGAAGTGTGCAGATATATAAGGTGTGTAGATATATGTTTAACAGTAACCTTGACTTGAGCAGTAGCTTCGACTTGAGCAGTAGCTTTGACTGGAGCAGTAGCCTTGACTTGAGCAGTAGCTTCGACTTGAGCAGTAGCCTTGACTTGAGCAGTAGCTTTGACTGGAGCAGTAGCTTTGACTGGAGCAGTAGCCTTGACTTGAGCAGTAGCCTTGACTTGAGCAGTAGCCTTGACTTGAGCAGTAGCTTTGACTGGAGCAGTAGCCTTGACTGGAGCAGTAGCCTTGACTTGAGCAGTAGCTTTGACTGGAGCAGTAGCTTTGACTGGAGCAGTAGCCTTGACTGGAGCAGTAGCTTTGACTGGAGCAGTAGCTTTGACTGGAGCAGTAGCTTTGACTGGAGCAGTAGCCTTGACTGGAGCAGTAGCCTTGACTGGAGCAGTAGCTTTGACTGGAGCAGTAGCCTTGACTGGAGCAGTAGCCTTGACTTGAGCAGTAGCTTTGACTGGAGCAGTAGCCTTGACTGGAGCAGTAGCCTTGACTGGAGCAGTAGCCTTGACTGGAGCAGTAGCCTTGACTGGAGCAGTAGCCTTGACTTGAGCAGTAGCCTTGACTGGAGCAGTAGCCTTGACTGGAGCAGTAGCCTTGACTGGAGCAGTAGCCTTGAATTGAGCAGTAGCCTTGACTGGAGCAGTAGCCTTGACTGGAGCAGTAGCCTTGAATTGAGCAGTAGCNACACACACACACACACACACACACACACACACACACACACACACACACACACACACACACACACACACACACACACACACACACACACACACACACACACACACACACACACACACACACACACACACACACACACACACACACACACACACACACACACACACACACACACACACACACACACACACACACACACACACACACACACACACACACACACACACACACACACACACACACACACACACACACACACACACACACACACACACACACACACACACACACACACACACACACACACACACACACACACACACACACACACACACACACACACACACACACACACACACACACACACACACACACACACACACACACACACACACACACACACACACACACACACACACACACACACACACACACACACACACACACACACACACACACACACACACACACACACACACACACACACACACACACACACACACACACACACACACACACACACACACACACACACACACACACACACACACACACACACACACACACACACACACACACACACACACACACACACACACACACACACACACACACACACACACACACACACACACACACACACACACACACACACACACACACACACACACACACACACACACACACACACACACACACACACACACACACACACACACACATACACACATACACAGACACACAGACACATACACACATACATATACATACACACATATACACACACACATACAAGGTGGCTCAAAACACTGAGAACATCTCCAACCAAAGGGTTATGTAATTGAATTAATCGAATGTTTTGTCTCTGACAGTTGTATGAACATTATGACGCTAATCAGAAAACATGTTCAATATCTGTCTGCCCCCCCCCCCCTGCTTCTCAACGACTTTTTTTAAGCGTTGGCGCCTCGTTTCTGCTTCTGACAACAAAGCGACGTCATCATATCGTTTCGGCCACCCTGTATAAAGAGAACAATCCTTGCACTTATGTCACGTGACATATACGTAAGGAAATGTAGGAAAAATCTCTCTCTCTCTCTCCACTAGGAAAGCTGGACCTATGATTAAATATAATTAAATCAGAACCATCTAGTGGAGGCCTGCACAACTCAAAATATAAAATTATGAAAAACTTGTGCGGGCCAAACGAAAATAGGTCGGGGGGAAAGCTATTAACAAAATAATAAGAATAAAGAATATTTCGTTACTTCGCGGGCCACAAAGTGGGTGCTGGTGGGTGACATGCGGGCCGTATGTTGTGCAGGCCTGATCATGTGAAGAGATTTTAGAAATTGCGTCACTTGATAGCATTCTACAGAGAAAAATAAATTGGAACGTAAACCCCCCCCCCCCCCCCCGATCAAAAGTGGGTTGGGGAAGGGGGACGGTGTTTGCTCTCCGTTGAAGGGACATTGGGTCGAGACACAAGCTGTAACTATAAAAACTACAAACGTTAAGACGGCAAGGCTTGACCATAACAGAGTTTGTGACGCTCGGGCCGTGCTTGACTTTGACGCCTCCTCCAGCACAAGAATCCCAGAACTTTCAGAATACAAATCAAACAGTATCCCTATACGTGTATGTTGTAGATAGCATATCATTATGAATTGTACCCTACGGCTGTGCCATGAAGCAAATTCCTTATCCTTGGCTAAAGACGGGGCACATTGTCCCCAGAAAAGATAGGTGATGCTTGCATTCAAACCATTGTCTCGTATGACTAGCGCTAAAATAGTGAAAGCTAGATGTAAGCTCTAATATATATATATATATATATANCTATTATTTTGAGTTCTGAGACTCCCAAGGCAGCAGTCTTGGCTTATTAAAGGTTGTTAAGTTATCTCCCATGATGTGTCTTCTGACAGAAAAAACTGCCCATTATCCCCCTTGGTAAATCGGCCAGCATCAGGCCGGGCGAGTTTGTGGCAGCCATGGGCAGCCCCCTGTCTCTTCACAAGACTGTCACTATTGGCATTGTCAGCAGCCACCTCAGGGGCAGCAAGGAGCTGGGCATCAACAACAATGACATGGAGTACATACAAACGGATGCTACGATTGGAGTGAGTTGTGCCAATGTCTTGTACCGACGTCTTGTACAGATGTCTTCTATCGATGTCTTGTACCGATGTCTTGTGACGATGTCTTGTACCGATGTCTTGTATAGATGTCTTGTACCGATGTCTTGTACCGATGTCTTGTGAAAATGTCTTGTGCCGATGTCTTGTAACGATGTCTTGTAACGATGTCTTGTATTGATGTCTTGTATTGATGTCTTGTAACGATGTCTTGTATTGATGTCTTGTATTGATGTCTTGTGAGATATCTTGTGCCGATGTCTTTTTACCGATGTCTTGTGACGATGTCTTGTACCGATGTCTTGTGACTATATCTTGTGCCGATGTCTTGTGACGATGTCTTGTATCGATGTCTTTTACCGATGTCTTGTACCTATGTCTTGTCTTGATGTCTTGTGACGATGTCTTTTGTGGTTAGCTACGATTGGATTAAGTTGTGCCAATGTGTTGTAACGATTTCTAGTACTGATGTCTTGTACCAATATTTTGTACCAATGTCTTGTGCCAATTTCTTTTGTGGTCAGCTGAGATTGGAGTGAGTTGTAAGTTGTACCAATGTCTTGTACAAATGTCTTTTGTGGTCAGCTACGATTTGAGTGATTTATTGTACCGTGTCCCGTGGCATGTGTGGTAAGCTCTGTGTGGCTGTGGATACTGTTTTAAATTTTATCTCTTCATTAAAAGTTTAATAGTAATAGTGGGTGTGGTCTATAAATAATATAATACCTGCACGTGCCATTTAAGTGACGTTTGTCTTTCAGCTGGGTAACTCTGGCGGACCACTTGTTAACTTGGTAAGTTAGCGCCCTTCTTCACATCCCTCATCCTGGTATTTTATTGTATTGTGTCGTCGCTGTTTGTAAGGTAACACTGCCATTTTCATTTTACGACCGGCAACACTGCCAAAGTGACAGTGAGAGGGACTGTTGACTGACCAGTATTGTTGTCGTGTGTACTGACTGAACTTAGTGACCTGACTGTCCTGTGTTGTCACGTTGTCTGACTGGACGTGGTGAGTTGTTTTCATGGATAAATGAACTTAAATGTGTCAACAGTGGCTGGATAACTGGAGTTAGTGGTCATGTGATGTGGGGCATATTGGTTGGATAACTGGAGTGAGTGGTCATGTGATGTGGGGTATATTGGTTGGATAATTGGAGTGAATGGTCATGTGATGTGGGGTATCTTGGTTGGATAACTGGAGTGAGTTGTCATGTGATGTGGGGCATATTGGTTGGATAACTGGAGTGAGTTGTCATGTGATGTGGGGTATATTAGTTGGATAACTGGAGTGAGTGGTCATGTGATGTGGGGCATATTGGTTGGATAACTGGAGTGAGTTGTCATGTGATGTGGGGTGTATTGGTTGGATAACTGGAGTGAGTGGTCATATGACGTGGGGCATATTGGTTGGATAACCTAAGTGAGCGGTCATGTGATGTGGGGTATATTGATTGGATAACTGGAGTGAGTTGTCATATGATGTGGGGCATATTGGTTGGATAACCTAAGTGAGCGGTCATGATATGTGGGGTATATTGATTGGATAACTGGAGTGAGTTGTCATATGATGTGGGGCATATTGGTTGGATAACTGGAGTTTGTGGTAATCTGATGTGGGGCATATTGGTTGGATAACTGGAGTGAGTGGTCATGTGATGTGGGGCATATTGGTTGGATAACTGGAGTGAGTGGTCATGTGATGTGGGGTATCTTGGTTGGATAACTGGAGTGAGTGGTCATCTGATGTGGGGTATATTGGTTCGATAACTGGACTGATTGGTCATGTGATGTGGGGCATAATTGGTTGAATAACTGGAGTGAGTGGTCATGATATGTGGGGTATATTGATTGGATAACTGGAGTGAGTGGTCATGTGATGTGGGGTATAAAAAGAATAAAATTAGTTGTTACGCAGACCACAGCCTTGAGTTCATAATTATTATACTATACACGACTACAGCCTACACCACTGACGCCACTGCGCCTACAAGACTGACACTACAGCCTACACGACTGATACCACTGCCTACACGACTGACACCGCTACCTACACGACTGACGCCACTGCCTACACGACTGACACCGCTGCCTACACAACTGACGCCACTGCCTACACGACTGACACCGCTGCCTACACAACTGACGCCATTGCCTACAAGACTGACACTACAGCCTACACGACTGATACCACTGCCTACACGACTGACGCCACTGCCTACACTACTGACACCGCTACCTACACGACTAACGCCACTTCCTACACGACTGACACCGCTGCCTACACAACTAACGCCATTGCCTACAAGACTGACACTACAGCCTACACGACTGATACCACTGCCTACACGACTGACGCCACTGCCTACACGACTGACGCCACTGCCTACACGACTGACACCGCTGCCTACACAACTGACGCCATTGCCTACAAGACTGACACTGCAGCTTTCACCACTGACACCACTGCCTACAAGACTGTCACTACAGCCTACATGACTGACACCACTGCCTACACCACTGACACCACTGCCTTCACGACTTACACTACAGCCTACAAGACTGACACTGCTGCCTACAAGACTGATGCTACAGCCTACACGACTGACACCACTGCCTACACGACTGTCCCCACTGCCTACACAACTGACGCCACTGCCTACACAACTGACACCACTGCCTACACGGTTAATACCACTGCCTACACGACTGTCGCCACTGCCTACACGACTGACGCCACTGCCGACACGACTGACGCCACTTCCTACACGACTGACGCCACTGCCTACACGACTGACGCCACTGCCTACACGACTGACGACACTGCCTACACGTCTGATTCAGGGTGATTGTAAAAAAAGAGGATTAAAATCGTAATCTTATATATTTTGGTATGTGTTTATTTCTCTCTCTTAACATAACAAACGCGACATTTCTATATTTCAAAAAAACAAAATTTTCATTCTATAGTTACTTCACGTCACTTAACCGATTCAGGTTGCTTAAAAAAATTTATTGGTTTATTGAAAGACAAAAAAAAAAACAACAAAAAAAAGCAAAAAAAAACACAATTATTTCTCCCTCCCAGGACGGCCGAGCTATTGGTATCAACACACTGAAGCTGACAGAGGGCATCTCCTTCGCTATTCCTTCGGACTACGCCTTGCCATTGCTGGAAAAGGCTGACCTCTTGGCTGGGAAAGGTGAGCCACCCATTTACTTGACGACGTTTTCATTTCAACAATGTCTATAACTTATTACACAACTTATGCACAGAAAAAACAATTTGGTTGATTCACAAATAAAAAACAAACAAAAAAACAATAATCTAACATTAATAAAATACCTTCCAAGAATAGATGACTAATCATTCAGCAATACGCATTAACTGCCCCTAAATCCGCGATAACTCTCCATGAAAAGTCACTAAAAGTCCCAAAGTCACCCCCCCCCCACACCCTCGAAAAGACCAGGTTTAATGAAAGGGCATTTTTTTTAATCATCTGCTGCCCAGCTGACCTCAACAAAAAGCCCAACTACCTGCCCAATGGGAAGGAGACCAACAAACGCAGGTACATGGGGATCACCATGCTGCCCCTGACGGTCCCCATCATCATGGAACTCAAGGAGAAATTCGCAGACTTTCCGGAGATAGCTACTGGTGTTTACATACACAGAGTCATAGTTAGCTCCCCTGCTTACGCGTAAGTTGTACCCGGCACAACAGGCACTGTACCTCACAGATTCTCAACCTTTTTTTTTTTCTTCTTCAAATCACGACCCCGTTTTCTAGGAGATAACACATCCGATCTCAATGAAAAAATTCTTTTATTAGTAAAAGAAAAAAATCGATAACATATTTTTCAGTATAACATGTCATTTAGTTATTCAATATACTTTTAACAGTATGAAATATCATTATGTAATTCACCATAATTTTAACAGTAACACTTATCATTCTGTAATTCACCATAATTTTGACAGTAAGAATGATCATTATGTAATTCAATATAATTTTAACGGTATGAAATATTTATTGGGTTGATTAAAATGGCGGCTCACTAACAAGATGACAAAGTAATCGCCGTGTTTTCGTTAACGCTAACCTCGTGTCATTCTCAATATTTTATCTGTTGCTTGTTTTGATTTTCAAACAAGGAATAGTTACAATTGCAGCCTCGCAATGATGTGTATAGACAGATGGGAGTACTGGCCCTTGATATTAGTCAAACCCTAACACACCACTGTCTACACTAGACAGATGGGAGTACTGGCCCATGATATTAGTCAAACCTTAACACACCATTGTCTACACTAGACAGATGGGAGTACTGGCCCATGATATTAGTCAAACCCTAACACACCACTGTCTACACTAGACAGATGGGAGTACTGGTCCATGACATTAGTCAAACCCTAACACACCACTGTCTACACTAGACATATGGGAGTACTGGCCCATGATATTAGTCAAACCCTAACACACCACTGTCTACACTAGACAGATGGGAGTACTGGCCCATGATATTAGTCAAACCCTAACACACCACTGTCTACACAACGCATACACAGATTCAAACATGGGAGTAGCTTTTACATTTTTTAAAATCATAAATCTTTGTTGAGAACCTCTGCTGTTACTGAAGGACTGCCAACTTCCACGTGTAAGATATGGGTCTAGGTTGACGTGCGTGAAAGATGCTGTATTGATGCATTCTAGAATTCTACTAACGATGCATTGTCTGTATATTCACAGTATCGATCAATTTAGAACAGAGCTGTTTAGGGACACCCCCTACCCCCCAGCCGGGGGATCTTCAGTTTTAAAAAGGGCACTGAAATGGTAGACAGGAAGAAGGGCTTCTGCCAGCCGCAAGTTATTGACAAATTTCAAGAGGAACATTACTGTAGTTGGCGGTCCTGTTATTCTATATTTCTCTTTTCTGTTGGCACCAGTGACATGGGGTTGTACCTGATATGATCGGGGTATATGCCAGATATGTTAAAATAAGGCGTTTGAAACAGTTGATCAGCAAAATTTTCTTGTGTCATCTCCAGAGGTGGCCTGCACGCCGGTGACATCATCATTGACATCAACGGCGCCAAAATCGACTCAGCCGGTGATGTGTACAGCATGGTGGAGAAGTCAGACATGCTGCGCATCACTGTCATCAGGGGGAAGCACCTGGAGAGATTCTCCGTCATCACGGAGGCGCTGTAGTGACCTCCCTTTATGAGAAGATCTGAGGTTTTAATGATGGGGTAGGATATGACGCCACGAGAATCAATAGGATCGATAGAACACGTGACAGAATATGCGAGATCACAAGCTAGAACATGATGCTACATGTAGTAGAATACATCAAGATATCATTTGATATATCATTTTATATGTTTTAATACTAATTGTTATGGAGGAAATTAATAAAATTGATGAAGATGCTAACAACTTGGACCATGCACAACACTCGAAATGTGAAAAACCTATACTACTAGAAGCTAGAAGCTTAATCGGACTCTCGTTCAGAGGATTCAGAGGCAAAACAAGTTGTAAGGAACTCTTTATTGGATCGAATCATCTTTGTTAATATCTTATGTTTACACTTACCTGCACAGGAGATGGTTAAAAAAAACTAAAAAATCAAAGTACGAGGACGACAAGTCTTGGTTTGAGTTTAAAATCATGTACCGAAGGGCAGATCCAGGGAACATTCTGAATCAGACAGAGCTGATAACCAATGGTGTTGTGGACATTTTCGCACAATGAAAAAAAATTAATCAAGATGAAATTTTACTTGAAATAAATTAATCTTGTAAACGAAAAAACCAGCATTGTTATTTTTAAACTATCAGCTTTGAATTTTTAGAACTTTAAATGGATGTCTGGGTTCCAAATGAACACATACTTACTATTAGCCACCGGTTGATGGCATGTTGATGTCCTTTTCTGCATTAAAGTGTTACATTCAATAGCAACTGTTTATCATTATGTCATGTTTAATGACACTGTGAATGGATGCCACAATGCTATCGTTCATAGACCGGCCCTTCACGTACTTAAAGATCCCCGGTAGATCAAGATCAACCTTCTTCACGTACTTAAAGATCCCCAGTAGATCAAGATCAACCTTCTGCACGTATTTAAAGATCTCCAGTAGGTCAAGATCAACTTTCTTCACCTACTTAAAGATCCCCCAGTAGATCAAGATCAACCTTCTTCAACAGTTCCTCATGTTGTGGCGACCCCCAACCATAAAATTATTTTCGTTGCTTCTTCATAACTGTAGAGTATATGTGTTTTCAGATGGTCTCAGGCGACCCCTGGGAAAGGGTCATTCGAGAACCGCTGCTCTAGGACAAGGAAGGCCGCGTTAGATAGTATGGCCCGCCGGATGCATAAAACATTAACTTCTTTCTTCTTTCAGTTTGCTGTTATTTTCATTCTTGACTTGATATAAACGAAAACTCGATGTAATGGCCCTCTTTGGGATTGCTTTAAATTAAATAACATTCAAATATATAATAGAAAATCTTCAATAAAACAATAACACTTTTTGATAACTAGTAAGTCATAGAGCAGCAGGAGAAAGGCTAGTGGACAGTTCGTTTTTTAAAACTTATAATTTGTAGCTGTGTTAATAGAAATCCTTTGATTTTACTTAGTATTTTCGGCACACAGTTATACATTTGGAAGTAACTAACCTTGAACCAGCGATGTCCTTATGTCATATGCGATAAATCGCCTCGAAGCGTAAAGGGGTTGGGGGGGGGGG